AGCAGCACCATATCACATTTTTTAGCTCCAGATGTCGAAAGTCTTAGCTTCAGTTTTGTGTGTGTGAACTATGGGGGAATATGCACATAATGAATGTATCAATCCTGCCTAATTTGTAGATTGTTTTCAGGAAAATGATTTGTATGGTGAGTTGAATTAATACGCCCCTCTCCCCCCACTCCCCCGCACTTCCTCAAGTCTTTACTACCATCTGTTAAATCTACCTTTCAAACTAATCCTAATTTGTCGTAACGACTGTTTTAATCGATTGATTTATCTTTGTTTTTGTATTTATTACACATGCCGAGGCCTGTAAACATTTCTGATTTTAACAGCGCACACTTTATTTTGTTATTGGAGTCCACAATGGCTTAATTGAATCATTTTTGAAACCGTGTTTGACAAATCAGTTGCAGATTAACCTTTTTTTTTTTTTTTAATGGTCTGGTCTGTTAAAAAGTAGCTGGGATACTTTCAGAATTCAGTGGCCTGATGAGGCGATGTTTCTTCTGTTAGTTACCACTGAAAGTGTTTATTGTCCATTGTTGGGTTCATGAAGTAAATTACACACATTGTTCTTTCATGTATTTATTTCTGCTTTAGATTCTTAAATAAATTATGTTCTTTACTATGTCCTTTTTTATTTTATCTCAATGCTCTACCGGCTTCATGTATGGCTGTTGTATCACGACAGCGAGACAAAGCTTTAGATGTGTTTGGCACTTTGTACTTGTGAACTCCTGGTAAATTCAAAGCAAGCATCTATAAGCATTTGTTTTTAAGTGTTGAAAGAACAGTTCATAATTGGGTCAGCTTCCAGTCCTAAGAGGTAGAAATCTCATTTGGATTTATTGGTCACAGTCATTAAATGCTGCAGAGAAGTTTGGATATTTAATATATCCATATTCACTTTGATGAATGTTCTAAGTGAATAAATTACCAAAATGACAGAAAGTCAGTATTCATTGAAGTTTGATGATACTCTGGCCCGTACAAGAAAAGATGCCTCACCAAAGAGACACAATTGTAAAATAGTTAACTGTCTTTCTTGTTAAATTTCGTTCTCTCTTTTCCTCCAAATGATGCCAACGGGAGTAAAAGTCCTTTAAATGTGTTTGAGAACAAGAAGCTAATTATTTGGCATGTTACATGTTCACTTGTTTTAGCTCGTGCTGTGCTTTCAAAAAAAAAAAAATCTAACAACTAACACTTTCTTTTTTTTACAGAAGTGAAGGAGGTGATTTTTTTACAGAGTCAGAATGTAGAAAACTGTTCAATAACTTGAATAAAGTGGTATTGTTTTATAGATCTTTTTTGGCTTTTGCTGCAGAGCTGCGTTTTGTGGTATGGCCTTGAATTCATGCTTGAATGTGCTTGAAGGTAACGATGATATGTCCAACTCACACATCATCCTTAGCGATTTATTCAGTGTTCGTAGACTACAAGCACATGAGGTCCTCTTTCAGACTCAAAAAGCTTTTCTCTGTGTTTACTCCTTTTTTGGGTCTCCAAGGTCTCAGGCAAGATTTAAAATAGTGTCTTTATACTGGACGTTGACGGTCTTTGAATGACGGTGCTCGATAATTGTGTTTCAGCATCAGTCCACTTATTAAATATGTCCTCGCGCAAACTGGCATTGATTTAGGCAGTCAATGGCCATCGATTTGCTTTTCTTACTTTGGCTTCTCCATTCTTGTGGGAAAGGTCAGTGGAGTAGATAGAGGGATGAAACGCTCCCAAACTCCTCTTAATGCACGCCATTCTCAGGGAATAACATCAGGCCAGTTAATACAGGCCTCGAGTGCCATTGTCCAGATGAGCGGGAAAACTGGGCCAATGCATTCATTCATAGGTAGACAGATCAATAAGACAGCTTCCAAAACAAACCAGTGGAGAGGTTCCTTTATTCCTCTTGAGTGGGGCCTATTCACCAAGGTCCCTTCTCTGTAGAGTGGTGTGGAGCTCCGCTTCAGCAAAGGGGTCCCCCACCCTTCCATCCCCAGCACGGCCAGAAGAACTGAGAAGCTTCTGGAGGGGTGACGCTACAATAGTGGGCTTTCTGTGTGACAGAGTGGTGATCCCACCCTCATGTTGATTGTGAGAAGCAGCAGCCATGCTTCATGGCTGACCTGACCTAGTGTCGTGAATGGCCCAAAAGAGAACACTTTACATTGCTTGAACTCCTCTGACCTGTTTTTACATTACTTCCAAGTTATGACAAAGATAAGAAAAACAGAAAGGGTCCCCTGCTGAAGAGAGTGCCTGTTACGGATTGGTGGACGGACATTAGCATTTAGCAATCATCTTACACTCAATACATGCAATTATCATCTTTTCAGCACCGTGACAACAGAGGTTTATTTCACGCAAATTGTTTATAAATTCCACAAAACATTTTAAAAAAGAGAGAAATGCAATAACACAAGTAGAAATGAAACAAGAATTTTAGTTATTGACAGGCAGTAAATTCAGGAGGAATTCACAATGTGTTGCGTCATGCTCAGAGAAATCAAGACACACTAAAATTGTTTTGCAATATGGCATTGAGAAGACTGTGTAATAATGAACAAAAAAAGAATTATATACAGTAAAGTATACAAGCTGAGATTTTTTAAAATCATGTTACACAATTAAAAGGGGTCAAGTGTGTCACCCAGTGTGATATAAATCTGGATTTCTTGTTCAGCTGACATACATATAACATAATACACAGAAAGCAAAGATACACAGACAATGTAGCATTGTGGAGGACCCATTTTAATTTGACTTTAGTCCCTGTTATCCCACTAAAACACGCGCAATGGTTCTGACCCGTTCGTCATTCTCATCCACGTGGGGAAATATTGCTCATCTCCAAAGCCGTCTGTGTATTATGACCTAATTGAGTTAAACGTGCACCAGTTATCAGTGCAAAGCAGGGAGGAAAAAAGAAACAGAGATCCTCGCCAAGCAAAGTACATTTAAATCTCGTCATGGTTAAAATTTGAGGTCCACCGCCTCGTGCTGGAAATATGAAATGGCTGACTGCCCTCGTGGTAATCACCACTGCTCTTACATTAATTCATCTCCAGATGAACATTGTTCCTTTGGGGTTTCCGTGCTTCATCAGCAGCCCTCTGATAGACACTATACCACATATTGCTACTGTATAGCTCCTTAAAGAGTGTGTGTGTGTGTGTGTGTGTGTGTGTGTGTGTGTGTGTGTGTGTGCGTGTGTGTGTGTGTGTTTAAGACATAAATGAATTGCTTCTCTTTGCTGCTTTATGTAAACCAACAGTGACATTTCCTCTGTTTTTTAAATTCAATACAGATTATATTTATCTTTAATATTCCTAATAAATCATGGGCTTTTTTAATATTGTGAATTAAACTGAAATGCACTGTGATGAGAGTGCATCACACTGCATGCAGAAACACAGGCCTGTCCACCCACTGTGTTAAATCAGCCTTCTGTTTTTTTTAAACAGGGAGCCATCATATACATTAGCACCAATGATCTCATATTATGTCATTAAGATGTGTTTAACTTTAGCTTTATTCTCCTCAAGAGAGGAATATTCACCCAGCAAGGCAAGTGGACTTCATGTTCAGTGTCTTTTCTACGTAATCTGTGATTTACAAGAAAAACTGTGCTTAACTCTTCAACAAATTAATGGTACGTTCCAAATTAATTAGCCGAGGCAGCACACCACAGCTTAATGTCTTTCATGGTGGAAAGGCAGGACATTAAGCTCACAGAAACCTAATAGATTTTTTAAGGAATCAACATGAATGAATAAATTAATTCTCCTCTCTCTATATATACATATTTAAATATATATATATATTTTTAAACTCTTGCCGTGCCTTATTTCTCCTGATGAAAACCCTACTGTAGATGCCTCCTTCACAATAACAACCAACAGAGTGGACTGCCCCCTAGTGCCGCCAGCTGAGTGTGACAGTGCATGGAGGGGGGAGGGGGGAGAGCCTGCTTGCTTTGAGCATTAGCAGAATGCCAGCTTTTCAGTGCCATCCAATCAGGGAGCACCTTGGTAACGCGTTCATACATCCAGTGGAACTAGGTGGCGAATGCAAATGCTCCAAGATCAAGGTTTCTCCTTGGCAATGGTGCAGCACTTGTTTCTTGCCTTTCATGTCCGAATGATGATGGTGATAATAAGAGGGGAGGACAGGCCTCAGATTGAGCCAAAGGGGGAACGAGCATCGATGAGATCTTTGATATGGAATGCTGCATCATATGATATTAGTGTCATTCATGGGGCCGTTTGATTGACAGTTTATTAGAAAAATTGTGAGAAATGCACCATTGTCCTCATCCATTTTTCATGTTTGAATTGCTGACACTTTGATGCACTTTGGTGAATGTGGTGCTCAAACTAGGACAAAGGAGCTGCAGCCTACATCACGTCTTCAGCGTGGGGTTTCTCTCCTCTCTGTTCCAAAGACAGAATTAATACAGTAACAAACATATTTTTATAATTGCTTCCTTTGTGGTTCTACGCTCTAGCAAGTGCACCTATGTAAACACACACATATCCACACGGGTACACACACTCACACACACACTCTCTCTCACACACAACTGAAACCTGCATCATTTTGCTTCAGGGATCCTGTTGTTCTGCGTGCCTCAGGTCCAAGTGACTTAATTTTCACTGTTAGATTTTATTAGGCTGATGATGCACATTGCATTCATGGAGCACCTCAACCTCCAGGTCCTCCCACACATTGCTGTAAAGCCGGCCTATGTTCCTAATTAAGACAATGTTACTCCGCGCTGTTTTCAGGAAATGTAAAACTGATTGGAATGAAGGCAGCAAAGTCGGAACATTACTCTGGATAAAGGGAGAAATTTGTGTCAGTTAGCTTGTACCTGAAACACTATGAATGGTTACGGCGTGATTGTTCAGTTCGGATGATATAACACGTGATACTGATTTTGGAACATGAGAGAAAAAAATAGATATTAAAAAATAAAGATATGCAAACACAGAGTATTATATTTGTGTTTCACTGACTTTATTGTGTGTATTAAAGGGGCATTTCAACAATAATCTGACCATATCTTGGTTTTTCTTTGTTCAGGTTAGCTGTTTACATTGAATTTGATTTGGTAAAGAGAAAAAAAAACATTCATGGGTCTATGTATATATCCAAAACTGTATTTTCTTGGAAGCCTCTCAAATAAAATTTAGCAATAATTTGTATATCTTCTAAGAAATAAGTTGAAAAACAAAATAAGCTGTTGTCATATTGTGATAGGAAGCCAAATTCAGGAACTAAACAACCATGAATAATTGCACTAGAGTTAATTTCCATAAAATCAGCAATCTTGTCAAGTCCTTCAACCCAAAATTCAAAACATGACCTTGTTCGGAGAGTTAATTTGCCGTTTAATCCTCCTGTTTGTCTGCGAGAAGGTCACACATTGACACCACGTTGCTTCAAACGACCCCCCTGACCTCTCGCTGCGACCTGCTGGAGCGCATGCCGACCAACCGAGGAGGGCAACAGGTCACCGGAGTCACTTAGAGGAGTCCCGAGGGAGGAAACTGGCCCCTGGACACAAGGGTCCCCCGGCTCCTCTTGGTGCTGAAACACCCACATACTGTAGCTCCAGCCTCTTGTACTATACACTGTCTGCTGGGGGGACACTGAAGTGAAGGTAGAAAGAGAAATAGGTGTTTGTGACTGAGACATGGAATACATATTTATGCTGTATATGCATCAAGAGTGGATGTTTTTGCAAAATCATTTGTGTGTGTGTTTGTCTGCGTGTTTCTTTTCCCCACTTTTTTTTTTTTTTTAAAGCCGGCTCCATATACACTCAGGAGACTATGTGAGGAAAAACTGAAAAGCTAACTTTTTTTTCACCCTGCAATATTTCACTCAAGAATATGAAGAAGGAGCAGCTATAGAAAAACGTAGCACACTTTCATCATTATCAATTTTGTTTCTAATGAAAGACGGAGAATTATATATCACTTTTAGCACATTAGGGGGAAAATATAACATAAAAATGCTCAATTCCTTTTGAAGGGATTTCTTTTATTCTTCCTACAAAAAGACTATTATCTGGTAGTGGTGAATGCATATTAAGCAAGAAAAGCAACTATCATTCATCTTCTACAATGCATAGCTGTAAATTATGGCATTATCTCTACTGGCATAGAGGGAAGAGGGAAGAAGGGCCGAGGTGGAGATGAGTGAGGGTGTTGAAAATAAAGAAAAGGGTGTGGAAAAAAGGGACAAACCCACACACACATACACACACACACACCCTTCACACTGAAGTCAATGAGAAAGATTACGCTTGGCCTTATCCAGTAGGGCCTGTCAGATTTATTTCCAACATCAAGGGACTCTCTGCTGTCTCCTCACCCCATCCATCAGTGCCCTGTCTGGGTTTCTGTGTGGTCAGAGCCCTGGATGGAGGCTGGGAGTGGAGAGCTAAAGAAGGCTGGAGGAGGTGTGTGTGTATGTGTATGTGTGTGTGTGTGTGTGTTGGGAAGGAGGGGGGCACTGAAACAGGAGTGGTTGCCAGGGCACACAGGCCCGTGGCATTCTCCACCGTCTGGCATCCCAGGGTGCAATGGGAGCACTAGTCCTCGGTAAGTCACCAGTGGAGGTGAAAAGCACTGTCACCGAGATGAAAGGGGGCTTCCCCCCACCCTCTGATCTGTGAGAGAAAAATGAAAAAGACAGACGAATATGGGGAGAGCGCGAGAGGGAGAGGGGGAGAGCCAGAGAGAGTTTTAGAGAGTGTAAAATCGCTCTCACTGTATTTCATGTCAATATGTCTCACATTTGAAATCCTTATTATAGATTGGGTGTGGAAAAAAAGGGATGTGCTTTCATTGTTCAGGGACATGTCCCCTCACACACACACACACCAACATACACACACACGCCATTCCCTTCGCCCGGGTGCCTGTGCCACACCACCCACCCCTGTCGTTCTGCACGATGTAACCTAGCAACTATTTAATTAAAATAGCATCAGCAAGGATAGAGGCTTTTTTCCCTCCCTTACAAGGATTTCCTCCAATCTCAGAGCTTTTCAGCACACCATGAATCAAAACTGACGCTATGTATGCCACTGTATTGTCCCCCCTCACATCCCTGTCTTTGTTTCTACATTTGGTTATTTCCACAAAACCTATGGCATGCATCGTTGACACCTGACTGGCAGACGGTACCTGATGTCATATATCTCGCACAGTGGCACTATATCTATGCTTTAACTGGCCGGAGATTTAATGCAGGACATTATTATGCCACAGAGTTGTACAAGCAAGGCCATCACCTCTCTGTCCTTCAGAGTAGTCTTTCAGGAATAATAGAATACCTCCTCTTCAAGCCCTTCTCCTCCTCCTCCTCGTGCTCTTCTTCTTCTTCCCCCCCGTGCCTCCTTTTTTCTTTGTATGCCAAATCACAGCACCCTCTGTTTCGACCTAAAAAGAGCCGCCTCTTACCATGCTCTACATGTGTGCCAAGCTCGGGCAATGCGGAGCAATTAGAGGAAATGTGAAGCAGCTCCGCATGTCAGCGTACATCGGACTCACTGTCACTCAAACCACATCCATGACTCCTCTGCTCTGAGAAACAAACAATGGAGCAATATTCTGGTTCAGGGCTGTCAAAACAGAAGGCCCGATCTCTATTTCGTTCTCCTTTTCTCCCTGTCTTTTTTTCTCTCATGCTCTTTCTGCCGCTAATGGATGCCCTGATGTGTCATAGAGCAGTGAAGTTATCTGTCCTTTCTTGATTTTCCGTAATGTATCGTTCTGTATAGTACAGGTGCACCAGAAGGATACACATAACTCTTTTCACTTTCCCTTCAATAGGACTTACCTCTGTCATTACTTAAGAAGCAATGCAGTGAAAGTCATAGTAAATGGCTTTAATGATTATCCCACCAAATGGTTATATTATAGGGTTGACCTCCACTTCAGGTACATTCATGCTTTTTGACCAAAAATGACATTATTCTACCTTTTATGTCCCTCTTTCCCTTTTTCTCACGCACACTATTTCCATTTCTGCAGAACCGCAAAAGCCACTCCAGACACTACAATTCAAACACAGACATTTAAGACCAGTGAAAGAGGAAAGAGTTAAGAAATGTAAAAAGGATAAAATCACACATGCACTTCTACCTAATAGTCAGTGAGAAAATCACTTTAAACCCAATTTAAGGGGGGTGCTGGCATTGGACCATTTAGTATGATCTCTTCAATAAAATATATCAATGGAGGAAAATCCTCTTAACTTGAGGAATATATTCAGATTTGAGCATGTGTCAAACTGACTTGAACTGAACTGGAGGCCAAACACATTTGGATTTAGCTATATCTTTTAAGTTCTGATTTTCATTTTTTAAATGTTTTCAATGTATACTTTTTTGGTACAACAACTTTAATTATATTGAGGAACTAATAGCAAACAACTGCTCTTTTTTGTACAGAAAACTTGAATAAATCAGCCTTCGGACAGAGATAGAAAAGAAGACAATTATGTTGTCAAAAATGGACTGCACTCATCTGCCTTAGCTGACAAAGTGCTTTACAATTTGCCTCTCATTCACCCATTCACATGCACAGATGGTGATGAAGCTTCCATATAAGATGCTGACCTGCCGATCAGGAGCAACATCAGATTCAATGTCTTGCCCAAGACATGTGGACAGGAGGATTCAAAGATCGAACCATCAACCCTGTGATTATTAGAAGACCCGCTCCACCTCCTAAGCCACAGCTGCCTGCTACATATATGTTAATGCCGTGATAATGTTTTAATCTTCAAGGCCAAATGTAAAATACTTCCTTATTTTCATAAATATATACATGCAGCATGTATCCCCCCAGATTAATTCTGTAATCATCTGAATTCAGCACTGCCTATAGCCCATACAGCCTATGTAAATCTTCGAGAGTGTGTGTTCACACACTGATTTGCATAATGGCACATGATTTTGACAGGCAGGACGAGAGAGAGGGACCCCTTGACATTTTTATAATGGCACTTTACAGGGTGGACAAGGTTGGGGGGTAGGATGGGATATGGGCGGCTGTACTGGTGGAACAAAACATAGGGACCTCCAGTACATGTAGCACTCATAGAGACAGAGAACAGTGTCTTCTGATACCCAGTATGCTGTGTTTTACATGGACGCAACTGCATTTAAAATGATCAAAGCAGAAATGCATAAAGTGTGTTGGCAGTGATAATTGACGGATATTTATATGCATCTAATACTCCACAATTTGAAATAAGAATTTGACTTTGTAGTTGTCTTTGTGCTAGAGATAAAAACTTGAAGAACTAAAACTCTGAGTGGCTGTTTAAAATTGTACTGACTGATGGAAAAAAAGTAGAGCATATTTTATTAGTGTATCTCGTCTGTACTGGGTCACATCCTCTGAGATATCCATGTTGATGCTCTAGAAAATAATTTCAATTCTTCAAAGATGACAATTTCATATATCCAGCCTTGTAGTAATTCTCTCACAGGCCATAACCTCACAGCATTTAACCTAATTTATCTCAGCCCCCATTGTGGAAATAATTTTTTATACATGTCGGCATTTTATAACAAACCTCTACCCATGGATTTTCCTCCTGGGTTAAATCAATCAAATTGAATCTAACAAACATGTCCCTTGTCAATACCGGTGAGATTGATAGAGTCCCAAATCACAGAGTGGGGCATGTACGGCCGACACAGAGGTCTGTGGGAGAGGCCACCAGCAAATTAAAAGGTCACAGACTTTGATGGCATTCCCTTTGCCCTGACACACGCCCCTACGTCTTGTCTGAGTGACACGTGCAACAATGGCGTTTTTTTTTTCATCTTACGCAAACAGCTCAGAACAATGCTGCCGCCTAGAGCCATATGCTGCGCCTATGGCCATCCTCAAGTCCCCCATCTATTTGTCCGTGGGAACGGCGGGTAGACAGAGAGGGTTGTCTGGGGGTGAGGCCCTTAACAGATCTCCAAGGATAATTTTTTGTCATATAGTCTGGGACATGACAGACACAAGAGCACTGACAAACAGCAGTCAACGTGATGCAGCTAGTCGTGAGAAAGTAAATCAGACAGGATTGTTTCCACTGCACAATGATCGAGACGGGGCAGGCTGCAGCTGAGGAAGTCGTTTACATTGTATGCATTCATAAATAATACTAGCAATAGTAAAATTGATTAATTACAGCTCTTGATCAGTTTAATTAATGTTAAAATACGCAGCATAATTCTTTGGGTTTGTCGCCGATGCAGTCTGCAGTAACCCTTTTGTGTTTTTAACTGTATTTTGAAGCTAAAACATTTTATTATAGAGTCACACAATAAAGCGGGGGGCCAACTCAACTTCAGGTAATTCCCAGCAAATTATTCTCACACTCCTCCTCAATGCATCTGCTGTGTTCTGCACTCTTGAGCCCCTGTTTTTAAACCTGGTCGCACATCCGTCTCACTCCATGCCTCAAATCCCTGTCATCCTGACACGCATGCACACACTCACACGTACACAGAGAATTCATTAAAATGCATAAAAAAAACCCTCACCCACACGCACACCCCTGCCGCATGCATTAATTAGCACGCTGGTAACAAGCTAGCCTCTCTATTCACACCCTGAGCCTCTTTCATTAG